CCTTCGGTCTCACAAATGCACCGACCACCTTTCAAAATTTCATGGACAAGGTATTTTGCGATTAAATCAGTCGATTTACGGTTGTGCATGTAGATGATATCATGATTTTCAGCAAATCAAGGGAGGAACACCTAAAACACGTTCAGGAAGTATTGAACATCCTCAAGAAACGCACCCTCATATGAACTTGGAGAAATCTGAGTTTGGGAGGAACATCGTCATCTACCTTGGACACCGGTTATTCGTTTCAGGCCTTGAGCCTGAGGCAATCAAAGTTGAGGTCATACGCAACTGGCCTCTACCGATGAATATTCGTGAATTGCATTCCTTTCTTGGTCACGCATCATACTATTGGAAGTTTGTGTCGCGGTTCTCTATCATTGTCCGCCCATTGTCTAGACTAATAAGTAAGAATGTATCATATGCATGGGACGCGACATATGAGGTTGTTTTTCTAGCCTTGAAAATGATTTTGGAGAGGAATTTTGTGCTCCGCATTGCAGATATCAAACTCACATTAATTTTTTATTCACTACATATGCGAGTCACTATAGGATTGACCTAGTACTGAAACATCATGATGATGATCACTTACTTCAACTCGGATATTACAAAAAATTCATGCCCAATGAAAAGGTAGCTACTTCCACATACATGCGCAAGCTTTATCCTCTGCATGAGGCATTCGACCATTCGAAGCACTATCTTTTCGGTCGCCACTTCAAAAAAAATTCTGGTCATCAGACTTTGCCTGGATCAAGTCTCAAACTAACTTATCTATGACATACACTGCTGAATGCATGAGACTGGCGTGTATGACATTGAGTTGAAACATAAGAAAAAATTTTATACTCGAGTTGTTGATGCATTGTCTCGCAACTCGGAGTATACGACATGCCTAATGAGCTCCTACAGCCACCGGAAGAAACAAAAGGAGAAATTGGTAGAGCAAAATGCCAAGGATCCGAATCTCGGTCCCTTCCTTGAGCATCTTAAGGTTGACCCCGACAATCAGCCTGATTTCTACGTTGTGATGCTCTGATTTCCCGACTCAACGAAAAGAATGACCGTTGGTGTATACCCAACCATGAGCCTCTCCGCACTCACTTGTTCGACTTGGCTTATGACCGGTGTGGATAATTTGGTTTTGCAAAGATATACGGAAGTCTTTTGCAATAGTTTGATTGAACTATTATGAAAGGATATCACCACAAGTTTGTGGTTGAGTGTCAAGTTTCTCAACGAATCAAACCATCGAGGCAAATGTTAATGGGGCTCTTGAAAAACCTCTTCCCATTCCCGACGGTCCGGGACAATCCATTTCTATTGACTTCATGGACATAGGTAAGTTGAGAAAGAATGAATATTCCCAAGGGATGGTGATTGTTGACCGTTTCCCAAGTTATTGAACCTGATACTGTTGCCACCTCACGCCCTAACTGACCTTGTGATTTGTGAATTCCACCAGAATTACATTATGCAGTACACGACTCCAAAAACCCTTGTGAGTGAGAGGGAACCCCGCTTTATAAGTGTCGACTGAAAGGACTTCACTGCCCAACTCCATGGTATCAAACTGAAGACGACATATGATCGACACCCCACACTGTGATACAACTTCTCCGCACTTCAATTATCCCAAACCAAGATACATGGGATGAAGAGTTGTATGCGGTGAAGGGGTGTATAAACAACTTCATTCACTCTTCATCAAAATGACGCCGGACAAGCTGCACTACGGTTGCAAGATCCGCAACCCTCTCTCCTATTTGTTCCCTGAGCAGTCCATTGGTCGGACAACCGGAAGGCGTGGCTACACGCCAAGTATGATCGTTTGCTCAAAGTTGTTGTTGCAGCAATGACCAGGCGACAACATGCCATGATCCATCATGCAAACAAGAAGTGCAGACCAACAACTTTCGAAGTGGGAAGTTATGTCAAGATGTCTGAATTTTCAATTTTCGGAAGAGGTGGGGGTGTCAAACAAACTTCTCCCTCTCTACTACGGTCCATGAGAGGTTCTCAAGGTGGGAGGTAATGACAAGTTCGGTCCTTCGTACGTGATTGATGTGCCTCCTCATCTGCGCACGTACCCGATCTTTCATGCGTCTAAACTGTTTCCGTATCTTAATTCTAAATCCTTTGATTACCACTAGCCTATGATCCCTCGTACAATGAATGGGGGGCACAAGATAGACAAAATTAATCAATTAACTTAGCTTCATTG